TAATAATGCAGATCTATATCTATTTCTAATTATATACTATATACTGTATGTACTGTACGTACTGTACGTACTGTACGTACTGTACGCGAAAAAAATTGGGCTATCATATAAACGGCACATCACTAGTTATGACTAAAAATAGCCCATCTTGTTAATGTTAGCAGTAAGGATGTTATATCGGAAACTAGTTCGATTTTAATCAGCCAAAAAAAAAAAATTCGTTGGACCTGTTTTAGACAAAGGTTGTGAACTAATTTTTACTATATAGCTCATAACCAGATTTTTTAAGAACCCAGACCGAGATTGAACCAGACCTTCTTAACATTCTAATTAGTGGGTTTTATACAATAAGACAAGTATTACAACCTACGACATTCATTATAACCTACAACGATAATTATGACCTTGGGCATTTATTATGACACACGCTACATATTACAAACAACGACAATACATCATTTGTGCTACAACGGGTTGCGATGATAATACCGCAGCCGTAACGTAATTGAGGTAGCACCGCCACAAAAATTTCCACATCACTAGTCGTAACCCTACAGAACACTGATTATACATAATTTCCAGGGTTGCGAAGTGATGGTATATCACGTGATCGAAAATAAGAGAGCAACACAACACCACATCGCAAGCAACTCAACTCGCGCGTGAAGATCACAAGACGGATATTCTATAGAATGACTGGGCAATATAAGAAATAAGCTTTGCTAATGATTAGTAATCATTAATTTTTTAATAGCGGAGTTTGTGGAGTTTGCTGAGTTTTGCACACCTATTATATAGAACATTCCACAAGACAATTGCAGAAGCAGGAATTCGGGCGTGGGAAGATCAATATAAAAGGGGTAACAATGATAACAGCACCTGCTTGGCACAAAGAATAGGCACCAGGAAACGATAAGTTCAGCATAAGTACAAGAGACAACGAATCCAAACTTTTCCGGCGCTGAAAGAACAAGGCGAATTCGCGCCACTCACCAACCTACCCAAACAAGAAGACACGTAAATCCATCATTTATTTACTTGCGGCCGGTTTGCTTCAGCAGGCGGGGAATGACCCCACCGCTATTCCTACTGAGACCCCAGTGTAATTACGATTGCTTCTGTCGCGGGATGTCTCTACTGTTCTGACTATAGATGCTGGTGAAACTAGTGAAACTCTTGGTGAATGGTGGTGAAACTGGTGAAACTGGTGAAATTTAATATAATAGCCAATCAGATTTTAGATAATCACCAGTTTCACCAGCTTTATTTAGTTTCACCAGCATCTATAGTTCTGAGTCAGAACTATAGATGCTGGTGAAACTGGTGAAACTCTTGGTGAATGGTGGTGAAACTGGTGAAACTGGTGAAATTTAATATAACAACCAATCAGATTTTAGATGGTCACCAGTTTCACCAGCTTTATTCACCAGCATCTATAGTTCTGACCAACTCGGTCAATTGCTCGCTTTCTATCATGTATTCTGCTAACCTTAAATTCAATAAAATATGACCTCCAGCAGCCGTCATAGTCCAAACTTTGAATGTTGTGTAAAGCGAATGCTTTACGTTATTGTTATAATGAAATTTTAAATTTTTATTTACAGGTTTTCACTCCACAGCGCTCGCATGGTGCAACATAAATTGTGTTATAGTTGATTTTATTTAAGTATAATGATAACGTTTGTATAGCTTGCATGAGCAGTGTAACATCTATATGAATTACTAAATTTATTTATTCAGGTTCTAGATATAAGGAACATTTCTGCAAATATAACATTTCAAAATGCTCTTGACCACTTTGCTTGACTCTAACATTTTTTCTATCCGCCTTCAATATATATCGGGTTCATTCTATGTAGGAAACGTGACTAAATATACGACAGGAGAGTTATTATTAAAGAATTTCAAAAATTGCGTTGGACCGCTCAGTAGGGAGTCCTGTAAGCTTGTGTACCATGATAAGGACATACAGCTTTCCGACACGCTCGAAGAGCTGGGAATCATGGTAAATATTTTATGTGACTACTCGATTACTATAGGAAACCTTTTTTATGTTAGGAAAGAATAAATATATATACAATGATAATGAATTTATTGTATTTCTAACTTAGGAGGGAGATTTAGTCAAGGCAGTATATAGTCACTGTAAAAATTCGATACAGCTTTCAGAATTTGAAAAAATATCAACTAAGGCAAGAAGTTCAATGATAATTTACTTGAAAACACCTACCGGAATGATGGAGCTGAAAGTATGTTGGAGTGACACTATTATTCAGATTAAAAAGATGATTCAGGATCTAACAGGCATTCCTGACAAACAATTCATTAATCCTCCTGACACACAAGCCATTATTTTTAACGATGTCGTATTATCCAATGGTAATACCCTATCATATTACAACGTCCAAAAAGGGTCCACATTGTTTCTAGAATCTAATGTGATTCTTATCTACGTGAAAACAAAAACTGGAGAAACATTGAAGCTTAATTCAAGACTCAGTGACACTATTTACAGCGTTAAATCAGCGATCCAATATAAAAAAAACATCCCCACTTCCCATCAACGAATTATTTTTAATGGCAAAGAATTAGATGATCATAATATCCTTTCAGTTTGCAAAATTCAAAAAGGGTCCATACTTCATCTAGAATCAACGGAAATTATCATCTACGTGAAAACAAATACTGGAGAGACTATAGAGCTTAATTCAATACCAGATTATACTATTCGCAATATTAAGTTAATGATCCAAGATAAAAAAAATATCCCTCTTGTCCAACAACGTATTTATTTTAATGAAAAAGAATTAAATGACAATAGTATCTTTTCGTTTTGCCCAATTCAAAAAGAGTATGTACTTTATCTAGAAATTATATCAATGGTAATAAAAATCAATGTGAAAATAATGAACGAAAAAATTATAGAGTTAAACGTAAGGAGAGATCATGCAATTAGAGAGGTTAAGCGATTGATCCAAGATAAAGAAGGCATCCCTTCTGACAAACAATATCTTTTTTTAAATAATCAATTATTCGACGATAACTTCTTGTCAAATTACAAAATCGAAGAAGAGACTACATTGCATCTAGAATATGAAGAAATAATGGTCTATATAAAATTAATAGACGGAAAAATCATAAACCTGAAAGTGAATAGAAATTGCACCATCGAACAAGTTATTCGCATGGTTAAAGATAAAGGCATTTCGATAAATCGTTTAACTGTAATTCTGGACCACAGCAATAACGTCTTAGATACCTTGAGAACGTTAGAAAGTTATAGGTTTAGACATGAGTCCACTCTTAAGCTACATCAATCTAAACGATATTCTGGTCAGTTAATAGTGCAAACACTAACCGGAAAAGCAATAACTGTGGATGCAGAATCTAGTGACACTATTGACCAAGTTAAACAAAAGATCCAGGACAAGGAGGGAATCCCTCCTGATCAACAACGTCTTATTTTTGCTGGCAAGCAATTAGAAGACGGGCGTACCTTATCAGATAATAATATTAATGATATCGTCACAGGAGTCCCTGTCCTTCATCTCGTACTTAGACTACGTGGTGGGATGTTTCAAGAAACTAGTGGTCGCAAAGAATTTGATGCATTGCCATCACTCACGCAATTTATGCTAACGCCTGAAGAACGTCTACAAAATGGAATACATGCGGGTATTGTTTGTAATTATTGCAGTAAACGCGAATGGAAAGGAGCAAGGTGAATATTTATTGTATTTAATGAGCTTGGTGACGACCATTTTCCTCGTTAATATTGTGATTTTTTGCTGTTATTTCTAGATATAAATGTTCTGAGTGTTCTGATTATGATTTATGCTTTGATTGTATCGCAATATCCAACCTTCTTCATAATACGCAACATCATTTTCTGAAGATCTTGAATCCCTTAGATCCAAAGGAAACGCCAAAAAGTACTTCTATGGCTTCTGTTACTATTTCTCCAATCCTACCAGACACGAAAGAGAAATTGTTAGCTCTTCTACGCGAAGAAGAACGGCGAAGACATTCACCCGAGCTGCAACAAAAATATTATGATGTTGGGAACGATCCTACATGTGGCAAGGATTGGATGGATGTTACTGATCAGATGCAGCATGAGTTGGTTCGAGAGTTTGGATATTCAGATGAGGCAGTACAATTGTTGCGGCGTGCGCCACAGCTTTATCCAGGTAAGGAATGTATGCTTTCTTTTCTTTCCTTTCTTACAAGCGGCATTTTATCTTAATGTCCTTTTTCATCATCAAGATGATCCCGAATTCCGAACAACTCAAGTATATGTTCGCAATAATATTGCTAATATTGGAAACCTCACTGAAGGAATGCCAGCACCTGATTGTCTATTGGTTCCACTAGATTCTACATCAACCATTGATAACAGTAGTACCAATTCACCAACTTTAGTTCATTTAAGTTCACTTTATAAATCAGGACGGCCTCTTGTTCTTCTTGGTGGATCGTATACTTGTCCTTTATACCGATACATATCTCATGTGCTCAATGATATATATAATATATATAAAACATCTGTGGATTTTTATATGATTCAAATTCGAGAAGCGCATGCATCTGATGTTTGGCCTATTGGTAATATTGTAGATGTTAAGGAGCATCGCACATTATCCGACCGTTTAGCTGCTGCACGTCAAATGGTTAAAGAGACCAAGTTGGAAATTCCAGTACTTGCAGATACAATGAATGATACTTTTTTAAAATTGTATTCACCATGGCCATTCCGATTTTTTGTCGTTGTAGATGGTATTTTAAAACTTGTTGGAATGCCAAAGGAAGTTCATTATGATACAACAGACCTAGTTGAATGCTTAAATGGTCTTTTATCTAGTAAAAAAGAGTAGCATTGTTCCTATTAATATTTTTTATAGTCTCTATTTTATTTATTTTTGTCTTATCATCATCATTATTATTATTTATTATTATTATTATTATTATTATTATTATTTTTACTATTTTGCAAATCTTAAGCAGGCATGTGAGTTTAATGCAATGTGTTGTTTTTATACTTTAAAATGTATAATTATTTAATGTTATAAATTAAATTAAACGTTTATATAATTATGAAATAAAGTTCTCAAAAAAGTTGAGCAAAAGACCTTTATAAAAATAATTCATCACGGCGAGTAAGTAAATCCAAATATTTGATCCCTGAATTTATAATTTAGTTACAAATTACATCCAAATCCGAAAAAATTATTTAGGTTTCTGATATAGATTGATAACGAGTCTAATCACCACAATTTCATTACAGCATTAGATAAAATTATTTAGCTGCAAATAAGGTCCTTTAATTGCTAAGCAGCCGTGGAGCTTTACGTCTATTAATGCCCTAACGGCCTAGGATACTTACTAAGTTAAAACATTAATTGGGCGTCATTATGTCGTGACTGAAGTTGGGATCCGACTAAAGTTGGAAATTCAGTTAACTGAAGTTGGCACAGCTAACTAATGCGTGCAGGATGATCTAATTTCAGGGGCTAATTTCAGTCAGGTCCAACTTCAGTCAACTGAAGTCCCGGATCCCAACTTTAGTCACGACAATCACATGATCATAATAGGCAGACTCTATATCAATTCATAAAGGTCTTGTGCTGCTATGCATCCATAGAACCTTATATCTACTAATGCCATCGGCATACAATACTTAATCTATTGCCTGAGTGGTTATTGCGTTGCTTTCACTAGGGATGGGTTCGGTTGGTTATGCCCAGTTATCGCTTATAATCGTTATACAACAATCAATTTAGAAAAGATTTTTTTTCAGGCTATTAATTAAACTTGTTTAGAATCAAATTCTATTCATACAGTACTATCCTGTAAGCAAAAAGCAAGATACCTTCTCCAAAATTTGGAACGAAGTGGATGGTTCAATACGAGTTTTGCGTTAGCACACAAAATCTTGATTCTGATTGGATGTAGTGATCATATGATAAAAATTTTATGTCTGATCTTTGCTTTTTTTGGGGGACGTCTAAAGCCGTGTCCAGTCACATGTTTTTTGTTTTTAATTAAAGTTAGGGTAAGGGTTAGTTTGGG